CGCTCTCTCTCTCTCTCGCTTGTGTTCTTGTCCATGTCGTCGACGTGCGACAAGAAAGCGACAGCCAGGCAAACTTGGGCCCCTCGTCGTGCGAATAAGACGGTGCCTAATAATTTACACTCCGTTGATTTTAGGGTATGCGTCCGGTAAAATTTAATATGTGCCTGTGGATTATGATCGTGTGAGGTGCAGCTGCTTGTGTGGCTTAAGCAGGCAAGAAGGTTCTCTGACGGACCAAGAGTGCAGCTTGTTGCCTTCGCTTGTCGTAACGACACTGGTGAACCAACAGCAACAGGCTGAGCCTCCCGACCTGGACGCTAAGAACCTTGTGGCGAGAGTTTTCTTAAACGACAACGTCTAGATTCTTGCTTAATTACCTTGATAAATTTAAAAGAGTTCCACGCACGGTTGAATTTGGCTGTTGTATTGTGCTATTTTTTCAGCAGCTGTCTGTTAGTGCCGAGGAAGTGAATCAAACCACCTATATACCTATCTATCAAGATGGAAGTGCTGAGGAAATTTGGGGCATCATTGGATGGCCCACGAGCAGTCACTCGATGAAAACATAGATTTTTCCCAAATATGTCTATGACTGATACATGGATTTTTATGCAAAATGTCAAACCAAAACTGCAAGCCCAATAGGAACCTCCGGATCCTAATGTCCCAAAAATTAATGCGGATGGAGCTCTCCTGGCCTGTGCTCATGAAGGTGCATGTAACAATTATGGAAGTTCTTTTTATAGGCCTTGTCAAAGTGGTATCCTGATTCCTGAAGCATCATCTCTGCCTTAATCATGGAGACGTTGGCTGCAAGGATGGAATCTGAAGGGCAAGTGAGGATGGACTTTAAAATATTACGGTGGAGAGTGACTCCCATGTGATGACCAATCTTTGGCGGGACATATATTTTCACTGATCCGAAATTTCGGCCATCATGGGTGAAATTAAGGAGTCGACCAGGGGTTTCGATAGTTTAATATCTCTTCTTTTTGTGCACAGGCCTTTGAATGTTGCAGCTCATTATGTGCTGAAAATGCTACTGCTGTTGGGCATGGGAGCTTGTGGCTGAACTTTGCTCCATATTCATTTCTATATGCCTAAAATTCATGATTGTAATCCTACCGTCGAGGAGGAATGAAATGACCCGTTGAACTGCAAAAAAAAAAAACTAATTCTAAGATCCAATGAACACATATACTAAGAATCCTAAGAATTCTTGATTTTTTCCCTAAGAATTCAAATGATCTAGCATTAAAATTCAGAAGTTCCCGAAATTATGTTTATGGCTTCCCCCTTTCCCCAGTCTAAGAACAACTCTAATAGAGTCGTCATATTTGGGATCATCAAAGGTTATGCAGACGATCGCCAAAACACGTGAAGGCTCAAATGGGTTTTGACAAAGACAGAATCGCCAAAAAGCATCCTGCATAAATTTCTTTCAGATTGGACCCACCTGTCATTGGCTCATAGATTCTTCCCCAGTAATCCTGGATTCAGAAGAACATGTTTGATTCATAGAACACATTCGTAAGCATCAATTTCATTCCTATAAATAGGGCAAAAATTTAGTCATGTTGCGGCTTACATTGATATGAAAACTACTTAATTAAACTACTAACTAGCCTAGAACCAACTACTCATGGCCAAGACTGCATCGATTCCTCGGTGGAGGTGGCGAATGCGGCAATGTGGGCCTCGATGGACCGAAAACTCGCCTCGGTGGCCTGTCCCTTGTCGTCCATGAGTCAGCAGCGGTGACAACATTGCGGGCCTCGGTGGTCTAGGAAAAGGGCCTCGGCGCGCTCGTCCCACAACAGGACGACGGGGGCGGCCGGGCGGGCGCGCTCTCCCAAATCCATCGCTCCCTTTCAACGTCCTACTTTCGGCCCTCGTCCATGATCGCGTCGTACAATTCCAAAACAGGGGCCAGGGGATCCGGCTTCTTATGCTCGCTCTCAACCCAACAAAAGAAGATGCAAGGGTGCTCCTTCTGCTGATGCATTGACAAGGAAGTGGTGGCTTGGAGGTAGGCGAGAGGGGGCTGGGAGACGTCAGAGAGGGGACTGGATAAGGGGGAGAGGGGAGTGCACCAACCTTTTATAAGCCGTCATGGGTGTCATTAAGGGGGTAGCTAGGGAGGGGGGAGGCGGCATGCGGCCATCAAGGAGCGTTTCTCGGTGAGAAATGTGACCACGCTGCGCACGCCTCCTCCCCGCATGCTCACACACCTCCTAACCTCACAAGAAAGCTAGGAGGTCGCATGACAACATCCCACAGGCCGCCATGGAAATCCAAGGGAGCGCACGCACCATTTAAAGGTCGGGTGATTGACTGTCATGCCCCTCCCCCCTCACTGGTGGTGCATGCGTGGGAGGTCACGCTACTTCAAACCCTGCATCTGGCGCAAGGAGGAAAAAGATAAAACTTTCCTCCCACACCACCAATGTGTTTGGAACGAGCTCCTAACAAGGCCTCCACGACCTCCTAACAAAGGCCTCTACGATCTCCATGTTTGCAGGCTACGAGGTTGTTTTCGGAGCGATACGGCGATCGCGATGCATATGGAGACTTTGTGAGAGTGCCATTTTGTGTGTTGAACCCCTTATTAACAGTTATTATGGCGATTGGGTCTATATAGCGACTCTACTATAATTGCTTTAAGAGCATGGACCAAGTACAGGAGAGCTGTCATATGCCGCTCCCTCCATAATAATCACCAATATGAAGGCCGAAGAGGCAAAACAAAAAGAACACTCTAGCAGAGTCGCTACCCACTTCTCTATTGCATGACTTTTGGAGGCCGTCACAAAAAGAGTGGTTTACCCTCCCTATTTGGAGATTGTTGGTGGCTCGTTTTAGTGCACTCCAAAACCTATTATTCTGTCGTGGCGTGAGTAAAACTTCACCTGCTTCCTCCTCATCACTGCCTCCTTCCGTATTTGAGACGAGCTCATCGCCACAAACGACGAGCTGGAGGGAAGCAACAACTCGAGCTTGTCGCTCCATTGAGGAGGCCGATTGCCAACGCGAGCTTGCCGGCTGGCGAGCCGCTCAACTTCGACGATGGCCTTGACGACGCACTTCTTTCATCCGACGAGGAGTAGACAGCCTCGACTACTAGCTACTCCCTCCGTTCCAAAATAGATGACCCAACTTTGTAGTACAAAGTTGGGTCATCTATTTTGGAACAGATGGAGTAGCTAGCAATGCGAAACAATGGCATGGACTCTCTGCAATGCAAATGTCGCTTCTCAATATTTTAAGCCGCAAATTATATGTACATGCGACGAATTTTGTACCTAACTATAAGAACTCCTTTAGTGCTTTGAATGTTGCTTGTTATTAATTCACTTTTGATCGTTGTTTGACGGTTTACAATTAAAATTGGAAGTTTCAAATAAACTATACTTTAGTGACTCTAAATTTACACGTCTCCTCGACAACCTAAAAAAAGGGATTCCGTAAGCGTTTTGGCAACTCCATCAAAGTTGCTTTTAACATGACTTTTGTCCCCTCCAGACTTCACCGACGAGCCCCGTGGACTCGCATCCCCTCTGCCTGTCACTTTGATGTTCGGTGGCAGGAAGGAGAATCCCTGTGCCTACGACCCGGTCAGTAGTTTAGGTTATGGCTTTTAGTCCTCGCAGGTGCTGGAACGGAGGGAGTAGCTAGCAACCCGGAACAATGGCATGGACTCTCTCTGACAATGCAAATGTTGCTTCTCAATATTTTAAGCCGCAAATTATACTCCCTCCTTCCATCTATATAGGGCCTAATGCGTTTTTTAAGACCACCTTTGACTATTGACAAGATTAATAGTACATGACATGCACAATGTGAATATTATATCATTGAAAGCTCCTTTCACACACGAATTTAACGATGTGCTTTGTGTAAGTTGCATGTCATATATTATTGCTCTAATATTTGATCAAAGTTAGCCTCGAAAAACGCATTAGGCCCTATATAGATGGAAGGAGGGAGTATGTACATGCGACGAATTCTGTACCTAACTATAAGAACTCCTTTAGTGCTTTGAATGTCGCTTGTTATTAATTCACTTTTGATCGTTGTTTGATGGTTTACAATTAAAATTGAAAGTTTCAGATAAACTATACCTTAATGACTCTAAATTTTCACGTCTCTTCAACAACCTAAAAAAAAGGGATCCCATAAGCGTTTTGGCAACTCCATCAAAGTTGCTTTTAACATGACTTTTGTCCCCTTTAGACTTCACCGATGAGCCCCGTGGACTCGCATCCCCTCTGCCTGTCACTTTGATGTTCGGTGGCAGGAAGAAGAATCCTCGTGCCTACGACCCGGTCAGTAGTTTAGGTTATGGCTTTTAGTCCTCGCAGGTGCGGCACTTGGACGAATGACGACACCTCTTCGTCGAGTTTGTCTTCCAGGTTTCAGTCCTCCTCGAGTTCATCCATCTGAACATCGTCGACGGAGCTCCGACGTAGATTCTTGTCGTCTCCGGGGCGGTGAGGTGAGGTTAGGTTTTCTCATCATGTGGCGAGATTTGGTATCAGATGCTTCATATCTATGCAAGGGTTCAACGCGACGATTGCAGCTCCATGGTGCCGTCCTCAGGGGCACTTGCGCGAAGACTTCTTCACTGTCATCGACAAGGTAAACCGAATTCGACAGGGGAGTGACGCCTCAATGGTTTGTTCTGGCGGCGGTATTGGTCGCTCGGTGGTCTCGAAATCTTGATGTAATTTTTATTATGTTTAGATGCTTTGCACTTTCAATGAACTTTTTTCTTTTGAGGGAACACTTTCGATGAACTTTTATAATAGTCTTCTTTCCAAAGAAAAGAGTTTCTTTTTAAAACGGTGAACGTGAGGTCAAGCTCATTTGACCAGTCAACCCACGATCAAGTGGGGCCCACGCCGCCACTCGACTCCTCGTTCTCGGTTTCACTTCCCGCCTACTCATCTTCTCTTCTTTCCAAACCCACATCCCTCCAGTCCAATCTCCAATCCCTAACCATGGAGCCGCCGCCGGAGGCATCCACCCCTCGCCGGCTCGCCGTCGCCGACCTCCTCCGCCTCCGCCGCCCCACCACTGGTGCATCTTCCCTCCTTTCCCCCTCTCCCTCTCATTCCTCCGCCGCCTCCACCTCACAGCCCCGCAAAAAGCCTAAGCTCTCCGCCACGAATCCTGCCCCTACCACCGCCCCCTTCGCGCCAATCCCACATCCCGTCCTCCTCGCCGGCACCCTCTCCCTCCCTTCCGCCGACGCCTGCCGCAACCACTGCCTATCCCTCACCGACCCCTCATCCGCCGCCTCTGTCTGCTGCTACCTCCTCGATTTCGACCCCGCCGTCATCGGTCGCGAGATTCTCGTTCTCGCCTGGAACTACCTTCCCTCCGTCCGCCAACACGAAGCCGGCGTGCTCGAGGCAGTCCGATGGCGCCTGGCAGAGGCGCCCGGTCCTGTCCCTGTCCCCGGCCTTAGCTTCCTTGCAGCGATCCCGCTTAATTCCGTGGACGCTGAGCCTGCTTTACCCACCCGCGGCCGCGTTTTTGGGATGGTGAGGTCGGTGAGCGTGGTGTTCAGTGTCCCGCATGCCACACAGAAGAGTGACTTGGTCGGGTTTATAGCGGAGATGATGTGCTGTGGGTGCCGCCAGTGCAAGCTCTCACAGCCAGAATCTGACCGCGGTCACAAGTTTGAGATGGAGAAGTTTGTATACTTTGTGGATCTGGCAAGCAGGTGGCGGCCCGTGCTGGCGCGACTGATTGGCAGGCCGGTTTCTGTCACGGGGCTGAAGAAAAAAATGGTCTCCGTTGGGAAGAAGGGCTCGTACACCATGTTGGTGTCATCAACGGCAACAATGGTGTCATGGTGCCCATCTTATGTGGGCGTTCCACCATTGGATGAGTTGCCAGGGAAGTGCAGTGGAGTGTACACTGGGGTAGTCTCTGGAATCCACATGCAGGGTATGTTGGTTGAGCTGGATGAGATCGTGTGGCTGCTAATTGATGATAAGCGGCTCGTGCCGTCACATTCTCTTCGAGTTGGTGCTGTTGTATGTTGCTAATTTGCAGTTTTGAACTTTCGTTTGCAATTTTTTCATAATTTTTTATTAAATAACTTCAAATGCCAGTGTGTGTGACTGTTCTGGTTCTTTTGTAGATTTCTGTGAAGAAATTCCGAGTGGTTCGTCTAAATTTTGCTTGGACGACAGTTGTTCTACTTGGAACATGCAGTAAAACTAGCATTACTATAAATGCTTTCTCTGTGGTGGACTCGAAGTAAGATGCGACTTTTGGCATATCAGCATCATATGTTACTGGCATCACTCAACAGTTTTTGTTGTTGGTGCAGATGTCATACAAGAGCAGAGAATAATGGTCTTCTGGGCAAGTCTGTTAACTTTTTGGAGCTGCCCGGTAAATTTTGGTATGAATTTATGATAGTTCTACTTCTGCATGATATGTTTACCATGATTGAGAAGGGGCATATTTGTTCTCATGGTATGGTCATCTTTTTTTCCATCATTTTACAGGATGTTACTTCTGACATCATGCTTTAAACAGAAATTCAAATTAGATTCCAAGAAAGAGATCTGGGGGTCAAAAAATGTAACTTTGCTAACTGGAGTAAATAGCATATTACCCCATTGCATTTCCTTCTAATTTATTTAACTTAATCTCTTGAACTGCAAGGTACCAACAGAAGCAAGGATTGGTTCACACCTATGCTGCTAAAGTTCCCTCTTCAAAGGGTTTTGAACCTCAGGCAAGCTCATTAGTACTACATGTCTTTCAAATAACGAGTAAATAAATGTAGTGTTGCTCTGTTTTGCATGTACAACCTCCGTCCCAAAATATAAGAACGTTTTTGACACGAACATTGTGTCAAAAAAGTTCTTATATTTTGGGACGGAGGGAGTACATAACAGCTGTTTGGTTCACAGTGTAAAGTAAACTAGTCCAACTTTTTTATTGCCTTTCAAAAGACACAATATATATTTGCTCTGCTAACCTTTCAGTCTCATCATAATATTTCCCCCTGAAACATATATAAAGGATGTTTGTAGACTAAACGGTCTTTCGGGAACCCTTTCTCATTGTTTAAAATCTATTTTCGGTGTGGATTGCTTACCTGAATCTGGTTGCGCAGCATGATTTCCTTATGAAATTCTGCAATCATGATTGTGGCGGTTCAAGCACAGGATCAAAATTGGAAGCTTGTAAATTGGTAATAGTTTCTCCTTTTACTATACACAGTATGCACGAAACTAAATTTTGTTTTGGTTTTGTTTATTCACTTACCAATTATTTTTGGTTAGGCAATACCCTTCGCCAATTTTATCTGCAAGGTGGAATCATTGTGGATATCAATGATGCTCAGATTTTGGAATGACACGGAAGAGCTGGGCAAGAACCTGGGATCTAACCAGTTTCTATGTGGTGGGGTTTCCCATCCTGGTACCAGCAGAAGGATAATTTCAACTGGTGATCTGGGCCTTGTATTAGTGGGATGCATGAAGGTCACTTTTAAGAATTTATGGCATCTTCTTAAAAAATAATCATATTGTTTTTTTTTCAGTCCATCTGTCATTGTAACGTACCAGAAGTAAAATTCATGTCACCAATTGGAGGTGAAAACTCGCTTAATTTTGATAGATGAACACTCATATTTTGCATTTGTTGTGGCATCCTGGAAGCTTGTCATAAACTGTCCATGTATTATTGTTGGCAGATGCTTTTACTTTTGCGGGCTTATTATTGAATGTAATTTGCTTGCAGACAAGTTTATAAACATATTATGTCAATTGATTTGAGGATGCCATGTTGCCAAGTGTCATTTTGTTTTTAGACTTTTGAATGTATAAGGCTGGGAGATAGTAAATGTCTTTCAGTTTCAACTTCCCACAAGGCTTTCTGAAATAAAGATGTGGCTTGTAGATGGACTTTGCCTTTCATTTTGGTTAGCCTAGGCTTGTTTTTGTTGCTGTTTTTCCCTTTCCTTTTCTTTCTTTGGTTGCGTTGTGAGACCCACGTCATCTTGATGCTTTCTTCTAATACAAAATGAAATGCACTTGGGGTCTTCTTTGAGGAAAAAAACAAGTTGTTTTTTAATTGTACAAACTGCAGAAGTTAGTTGTGTAGATTACTTGGTTTCATGACCTAATGTTAAGATCTTGGATTTTGATGCACTTGCTGACCATGTCTTTGATGCATACAGATGTCCTCACTGCCATTGAGGCTGCAGCTGGTTGATGACACAGGATGTATAGATGTTATTATACCTGATCTTCCGCCAAATGTTTGCATGAATGGCATCTATGAGGTGATTGTCATAATTTACTGTATGCCGTGATTTAAGTCAGTTATCGATTGGCTTCATCAAATTAACATTTATGGTACTAACTTGAATGTCAGAACTAAGACCTTAGTACCTTACTGTTAAGAAATAGTACGACACATGTTATAGTATGAATAAAACTCTGTTCTGTTCAATTTTTTTATAATTCTTTTCTGTAATAGAATAACTCGTATAAATACAACTTATGGGATTTTGCCTAGAAATCATGAAGCATCAACCTGCCTAATCAAGGTCAAGTGCTCAAATCATTCAAGCTGTAGGAGTTTTTTTGGCACATATTTGTTGGTTTAACTTTCCGTACAGTGTTGCCAGTAAACTGAGATGAATAGTATGTACAGTTTGATGGGAAACTCATGTTCACAAGATTATATAATTTTATAAATTAGAAGTCTTGCATAGTGTGGCAGAATAACTCATACTAAATTTCTCAGTAACTCCTAGCATTTACAGTTTTTGTATTTGTGTTGGCTGCACTAACGTTTTTCACATTTATGTAATCTGAAATGAAAAAGTATAGTGGAAATGGTGGTACTGGTCTTCCTCCACAATTAGCATTTTGAGCTTGTTAGGCTTTTTATATGTTCTGCTTTGTGCTAAATAAACTACATAGCTAATTTAACATTGTTCTCAACCATTTTATTGTGCTATATGTTCAGCATCTGACTATCCTATTGCCACCCAGATAAATGATTGCAAATTAGTCCTTGAAGGCCCAGTGGCATACCTAGATCATTATGGTGTTGCTGATCCACTATCCTGTAAGGCTGTGTTTCAGCAGCTCTCGTACCGAAAAAGAGTGCATCATCTCAAGATCTACCTTATAGTCCACTGGAGTGAATTAAACCACATTGGCCCTCCCTCCCGAATTCCTTTGCAAACTAATAACGCCGCCAGGCTGTTCCACCTTGTGAAAGTGTCGCACATTTTCCCCTCAGTCAATAATGTGAGTAAACTTTTTTTGCATTCTGCTGATAATCTTGGTGTTTTTAGCATCATCATGCCCACAATTAGTGACTAACTGACTGTGTTCTCATTATGTCATTTTGCTATTGCAGTTTCAGCATAAGAACATGCCAGGGTCTGGCCTGTATGCTGAGGGTGTGATAGTGCCATACAATTTAAAATTTGCTGATCAAGATGCCGAGAGCTTTAAAATGGCAAGCACTCGTTCACGTTCTGATTCGAAACTGTCTATGGAGAAACCATGTCACATTCCATGCTCCCTAAGCTTCGGAACTACCAGTCTTTCTGGCAATCTTGTGTCTAGCTATCCCTGTGGGTCAGATGGTACTGTTCTAATCGATACCGTTGGTGAAGAACGAGGTTGCCCATCAAGGATCTTATTGGAGTTCAAGGAGGGGTGTTCGTTTAAGTACCAGGTATAGTCTTTATGACGAAGCTTGCTTTCAACATTTAACCTTAATATATAGCTACAATTACTAAATTACCTGATGAAACAACAGTTTCTGCGGATTGGTGGCTACTATCTTCTCGAATGCCCCACTGATAGTTTGAGGTTTGCCATAAAAGGCTGTGGATGTTTTCAAGGTGGTAAAGTTTCACTGGATTCTCAAGATATAATTTGGAGCCTTGCCATTACCTTTAATGGCAATATAAACGTCAAGCAGGGTATTGTAGATCAGTCTATCGGAGTTTCTTCATTGGGAGTGGATGAGCCATTATCCAAAAATACCTTCCACAATGAGATAAAATTACTACAGTCGTGGAATGACTTTTGTCAATATTCGGATTTTCATTTGAATTTTTATTGTGAAGCAGTGAGCGAAAAGATGAAAGTATATGACATCATGTGTTATGTATTGAATGGATTGGGCTCTTACTCAATTGAAGTTATTAGTGTCTCTTCATGCATCGAGATTATGATGCATAAAAAGTCTTTTGGTTCTTCTAATTTGCAAAGTCAAAAACTTGTTCAAGGAGATTTAATATCATTTCATGGGAAAGTAGAAAATATCCATTCACATGACTTTAAGGAGCGAAGACTTGTGCCTGGTAACGACAAGCGAAGTATATGTATCCATGTTGCTGATGATAATCAAACGGTAATTGACTAGGTTATAATTTTCAATTAGTGCTTAGTTTGGCATTCAATTTAATGGCATTCATTGCAGGTGCGTCTCTCTGGATACTTAAGCAAACATTGTTATCCCATTGGCATAGGACCAGGGGCAGCAGTGACATTCCACCGCGTCCTCTTGACACAGTGTGTTGTGCTCCTTTCATTACTGGTTTACCATTAAATTTTATATTTCATTATCATGTTGATAGTACTGATGGTCTGTCCACATAATGTTAAATTGTGACTGGATTGTAAGAACAACATGCCTTGTGTCCTGCAAATTTGAAATGACATATTTTAAGCTTTCTAAATCTTATATTTCATTTTCATGCTAAGTTAGCTGTAAACAAAATGTCTTACGTAGAGTTATATCTATTGCTTGTATATTTGACGTTGGGACTTGGATGACAAAAAAGGGTCTCTGCATTTGCATGATTTCTACTAGAGGTTAAGCTGAGGATGTCCTTGATAGAGTGGTGTTGTGCTCTATTACCAGTAGAAAAGGATGCATCTTTTATTTGGTTTTTGGGAGGGTGGTCATTAGGTAACCAATGATTTTACTTTTAATTATTTGTAAGGGAAGTAATCTGTGTAGAATGGGAAATGCTATATGCAGGAACTTGATATGCAGCTAATGTGAAGCCTGATCTGAATTTTAGTGTAAAAGACCTATTTATTGACAACTGCTAAAATAATTTCGTACATTATTCTTCCAAACACATCAAGTTAATTTGTCAAGTCTCTTGTTAAATGTGATGAATTATAATTATAATTGTTAATTCATCTTGCTATTACTGATAATAGAGATTATGGCCTGTCCACATTGTGCTAAATTGAAACCGAATCTTAAGAAATGGCGCAACCTACTTTGTGTCCTGCAAATTTAAAAAGACATCTTTTTTGCTGTCTAATTTTTTTTTCTGGCTACAGCCGTGAAATACTTTTAACCCCAGTAACATACATTGAAGTTACATCCATTGGTCATATTGAAGTGAATAGAGAACGTGCCACTTCCCCACTCATGCCTGGTGGCTTAAAGGATGGCTCACTGAGCACAGTTTCACTTTGTCTGCTCTCACATCAGAAGCATTTTAAAGACTGTACGCCCATGCGATTCCACTGCAGGGTAGGTTATATTCTGCTTTTATTTTGCCCATGTATAGGTCTCAGTTGCACCACCTCTTAATCGTTGTTGGGTGCATTGAAGTTTGACAAACACTGAATGATTATAGTTCAGATATTGTTTGTGACATTCATGCTCAATCATTCTCGCACTTGACTTCTCATTTTTGTTAATACAGGTAGTTAGTGTCCATTTCTTGGTGTTGGACAGTTGTTTAAATGATTCTCAAATTTCGGAATCAGTTAACCAGGGTAAAATACCAAAAGTACAAGTTCCACTAGCGGGGTTTATTGTTGGTAAGAGGAGCAGGCCAACTCTATTATTTCTGCAACAATATCGTAAATTCAAATCTGTTATTTTATCCAAAGGGATGTTTTGCTTTTCTTTTATACATTAAGCATCATCATAACATGTTCTGCTTTTTAACAGATAATGGAACATCTTTGTGCTGTTGCTGGGCCGATGATGCAAGGGCTGAACTTTTGCTTAGGCTGCAGGAAATTGCCATTCTAGATGCTTCTGTTAATTTGAAGTGTTCAAAAGATAGAAACAATGCAAAAATACAACGGACTCTCGGTTCTTGCCTAGAAAAAATGATGAAGAAGCACAAAAAAGTCATTGTGAAAAACTATGGAATTCCTCCCGACATATCTTGTCGAGACTTGGAATTATTATCTGATGTTGGTAGTGTCTTAAGTAGCCTGGAAGAGGAACTTTTGAAATTTATCGTCCTCAATGCCTGTCGGAATGGAACTATGGTGAGTTCATGTTTCTTTTATCAAGTGAACGTTAGAACTTTGGTTCAGCTTTCATCAATTGCATATGTTATCTAGCAAAGAAATTATATTATACTTTATATATAGGCATAATGACATTGTACTACTAACATTGCTGTGGACCATTATACTCTAGGAACAGGAAGCTGTTGTTTGTGTAGCCAGTCTGTTGGTTGTGAATTTTATGGATCAACTAGATGTACTCCGCATGTTGTTGTGGGAATGTTTTGCAATATATTTCAGTGAAAACTGAAGAAACACATGATTTGTTGTATTTGATTATCGTATAATTGTGAAATATTTAATAAATATAAATAGCATAATAGAATGAAAAATATCATGCATATTTGCATGTTGTGGTGGCCTTTTTCTTATGCATGGTTGCATGTTGGGGTAGGCCTTTTCCCATATATGTTTGCATGTTGAGGTGGCATGCTTGCATGTTGAGAGAAATATGTTTGTGGGGGTTAGCTATTTCGATATACAAAGATACAAAGATTAGTTCAATCATGCCAGATACTTTTATATGTGTTATGGTCTGTCTTTCTTCCTAACAACTTAGAAAGTTGTTGCTTTTTTTTACTGTAAGTTGCTGCATTTGTTGCTCGGGTGTTGAATGAGTGAATCTACTGTTACTCTTCTAGGATTGCTGGAACGAGTGCCGTTTAATGAGTTATAACACCTTTGCAGAATGTTATCGCATCAGCCCTTGAAGAGAATGCAATAAATGGATCAAATGTCGAGCTTCCTGATGTATATCCGGCGCACAACATGCAGAATTTCTGGGTTAATGAAATAGTTCAAGTGGATCCTTTGGAAGAGGCCCGGAGACTGTATGCCAGTTTGGAAAACAGATGATGTTAATTGCACAAGTGAATCTTTGAGATACTCAGGTCCCTCATAATAATTTGTGAAGAACGCATGAGCGGCGAGCAGTCCACTGGGTTAATACCCAGTCATAGTCCACTGGGTCAATACCCAGTCATATCTCCTGTATTTTGCCCATCAGGGTGGTGGCATCCAGTCTGGCGGTACATGTTCTGGGCTGCATATTCCGTCTGCAGGTATACATGGAGAGCCATGTGGTCATGCAAGTTATAGATGATTCTTTCTGGTGGAAGGCGACATACGACTGAACTGACAGATGGGTGGGTTATGTAAAGCTGATTCCATTCTTCAGGCTTGTGCATATATGTGGATCTGTTTTGTCGTTGGAAGATGACATTTGATGAGATCCCATGGGTAGGGTTTCTTTTTGCTGGTAGTCAAGTGTTTTGTATAGTCGGGCTGGCAATTGCCAGATTATTATGGCAAATGAAGTGTTGTATAGTTGGATATTTGTTATGCTCATTGTTACTCCCTCCGTTCCAAAATAGATGACTCAACTTTGTACTAGAGTAGTTGTTACTGTAACCTACACCCTTGCTCTGCACTGAAAAACTTAACAAAAGTTTTGATGAAGCGTGGATGTGGTCTGCACCTTTTGAACTTGAGGTGTATCATTTGGATGACGAAGCGTGACTGAAGGAGCGTCTGTATTTTAATTTCTGTTTAACGGTGAATGCATTTCTTCCATTTTGCTGATATAACTGATACCAATGCATTGTTCATCATCATCTGTCACCAGCTCATTCCTAAGGGCTGGGTGCACCAAAGGAATTCCTACTGATGGCAAAACTAGTGACAATTTCCATTGCACACCACCATGATGAACAGAAAGAACACAGCAATGTCATCCCATTGTGTTCAGCTGCGGTGCAAGAGGAAAATATTTACGTGTCATCCTTGCGTAGGGAACATGCTAATCTTCTATCCTTCCAGTTTTATCAGATGTCCCCTGAGGAACAAAAGAAACACCTGACTGCAGAACACAAGTAGCACACAACTGAGGTGGAGTCAACGAAGAAAAAGATTTATTCTTAAGCCCGGAGATTGAGCCAAAATTACTTCTAGTTAGAAACCACATGAGCGTGAATGACAATAGTTAATCCCCAGGACCGAGAGGCAATCGAACAGCAGAGCCCCAGGTGAAACTTCAGTACATAAGATATGCCAATTCGTACACCATAACCACTATTCAGTCAAGTTCATGGGCTAGACCCTTTCTTGAACAGCTTGATTTGGTCACCATAGTAGTATGCGCTGCCGACCATCAGAGCAACTGTCACACCTTGAGCAACCACACGGGCCCTCATCAGCTTCTGACCCAGCCGAGAGTTCCCGTACCGGAAGCTGACCAGGCCAGCTGTCAGGACGCCCGCAGTGACCAATGCACCTGAAATAGAAGGTAGGGTTACACACTCAAGAACAAAACAAGGTACATAGATACATTAGCACCCCCAGTAGTCTATCCCCACCCAAGTTTCCATTTGCTTTGGCATAAGTAGAACACATCAAAGGGCAAACATAAAACAATGTTATACTTAATGTTCAATCCGGAAAACCGACGCCATTATGCACTCAGCATGTACATATAAACAATAAACATGATTGCAGGATCCAGAATATGCAGCTTCACATAAAATTTTGAAATTTTGAATTAGATTTGAGCAAAGCAAGATATGAGAAGATCAGAAGTGTTTTGGAAGCTATTAGGACTTGCTAGTACTAATCATTTAAAACAATACACTTCCACATAGCTGACATATAATTTTTATTCTATAATTAACAACCCCTTGAAGAAGCTTCAAGCGTCATATATAAGCCAAAGTAATCCTTATGACTGTCAGGCAGTTAGGCTTTGTTAAATTTATAAGGGCATCTCAGCTTCAAAGTGAATGCAGGATATGGTGCTTAAGAGGAGTGTGATTCACAGGGTAATGCACATCCTCCTTTTAATGCATAATACCCCTTAAACATCTATCTTTATTCCATAAGCACATTATATCAACTGCATCTGTCCTACATTGACTGAAGTTCACATAGTCTATCTTTGGCACAGTGAGCCTGATTTTCCTTGACTATCCCACCTATCTCATTTCATTTCCACCAAATAGTTCAATAATCACACCATTGCCTCTTTTCTGATACACCCTAGCAACAGTAGTAAGTAACGATATACTTCCACAGCTGCACATATTAAGAACATTAAATGTAGAAGCCAAGTTGCTTCTCCCCTGGCTCAGAAAAAAGAGGAACTTGAGAAGCCAACTTTATAAGATCACAAACATATGAACCGTCCGAAAATCAAGGTCATGAGTCTCTTGGACATGTGCTGTGCTGATTTCTCAGCATTCTTGACGCACATCTGAAGTGAGCTAGTTCAGCTGAGCTGAACTCTCTGGGCTCAGCATATCTAGACTACTACCTCACTGAGATAAGGGTGAACTACCCATGAGCCGTGCATGGCAATATGCTAGCACATTCGACCGCAAAGTTCTGTACTAGAGAATGCAGTTCTGGTGTGTTGGTTGATTCAGTTCCTCCCTGCGTGTTGGAGCTGACCAAAAACGATTGTAATGCCGTGACTTAATCTATATGAGTGTCGTGTTCTAAAAAAATATACAACACAAAGCAGCTGATACACACAATGCACATCTAGAATGACAAACTATGATTATCAGTCGGTGATTCATAGACAGCCACCCATTATCAGTCGGTGATTCATAGACAGCCACCAAGAACAAATTGTTATTTTTAAGTTAATCTGCTACACCGATACCAAAGTTACTCTAGTACTCCAGCCTGTATCTAATCCACCATAAATCTGAAGTGTGTATGTTGCCCATGGAATGGGAAATGTGATAATTGCCCACGAATTCAAGTCAAACTCTCAAATATCACGGGATATTGCCCTCATGCTAATGAAATTCAAAGCTCCAACGGGTCACAAAAATAAAGGTTTCGACAGATAGCTACTGAAGCAGGATGTCGAGACTCGAGAGTATCATCCCAACTACTCCCTCTGTTCCTAAATATAAGTCTTTCTAGAGATTTCAATATGGACTACATACGGATGTATATAGACATAGTTTAGAGTGTAGATTCACCCATTTTGCTCCGTATATAGTCCATATTGAAATCTCTAAAAAGACTTATATTTAGGAATTGAGGGAGTAGTTTCTATTTTCACCATCTCTTCACAGTTTATAAGGCAGTTCACAGTTAATAACAAAAAACTGACTAGGTATCATGATTTACAGAAGTACTGTATATTACCAGCACAGTTTAGCAAGATAGTCATCATTCAGTCTTACACGACATGGCACCATTTAACTCTTCACAGCTATTCTTTTATGAACCCCAAACTAGTTTTTTCTTGACCCCAGCACCACTAAAATAGCACACACGATCCTTGATAACACTAGCCATAGATTCGTCACTCTCCATCCACGCCCAAAGATCCCAACAATCACTGTCCTAACATCGTAAAACAGGAACTCGAAATCTGGCCCGTAACTCCGAACCCAGAAAGTGACCCGGCCGAACCTACGACGAGGCGATCGATCGATCCACGATCCTGCCACTCTATAACATAGCGAGGGACGCGCGCGGGGCGTACCGATGGGGACGAAGGGGTTCTTGACGGGCTTCTTCCCCTCGAACGGGAACTCGTCCAGCTGCGGCATCGGCGGTGGCCGCGCGCTGCTTCCTGCGGCGGCGCCGGAGCCCTTCTCCATTCGCGTGGCCCGGGAGGCTGGGGAGAGGGGGAGAAGGGGAGGACGCTTTTCCGAACAGCGGTTTGCAGGCAGGAGAAGGAGCAGTCGGCCGCCGGTGGGTTCCGCCGCTCTTTGGATGGTCAGGGGTGATTGTAGGGCCGTTCGATTGGGATCCGAGGGTGCCGGTTGTTTGGGGTTAGTCGGGAAAAGGGAAACGTGTATGTGGTGTCAGACGTGCCAACCGAGCTGGTGCCTGGTGGAGCCCGGAGGGATTTGACCTTTCTCTTTTCTTTTCAGTTTTTGCTAATTCTCGTTTATCTTGAGTCTAGAAAAACTCAACCGTGGGGCTCCTTGATTCAAAGGATTTTCTTTAGGATTGGATCCTTGGTCATTTTTGCTACGTTGGTCATTTGATTCGCATGATTGAAATCCTTTTTTTTTTCTTAGGACGGATCTCCACTCTACTTTGAAGGAAAATTTCAAACCTCTTGATAGAATTCTGTTGTTTCTTTTGTGTTGTCAAACATCTTTTGATCCAAATTCATGTAGTGTTCTAAGCTATAGGATCAAGTGGACACGCCACTTGAATCATGTGTTTCTTTCTTTCTTGTAATTTTAGAATCCTATGAAAAAAAAGGCTTAAAATTCACATCATCGTCAAAAAGAAAGAAAAATAAGATTTACATCTTTAAAGGTGTGCGACTTGTAAACATGTTACCTGAAAGTGCAAATGATTGAAGGGCCAATTCCAGTTCTGCCCTTAACTTGAACCCACTACTCAGTTTTGCCCCTAATTTTCGGGTATGCTCAGTTTTGCCCCTCTGCCGTTAGTGCCACTTATGGAAATGCCCCTCCGAGCCGTTACCGTCCAGTCAAAGGGCGTTGACCGTTTTCTGGGCGTCTACTGGACATTTTTGCCCCTGGAAAAAAATAAAACAGAAATTAAAAAATAAAAGAGAAAGGACACGCTTACCTTTTGGCCCAGGACGGCCCAGCGAGGCCAGCCCACTGGCTGGTCATCCTCCCCCTCTGCCAAGGCCGAGGGCATGTCGCTCACGTGCTCACCTGAGCATCGCCGCTCCCGTGGCCAATGTCGTCGAGAGGCCGCACCGCCATGTCCCCGATGCCCGCCGTCAAGCTGGGAATCACCACGCCAAAGATTGAGATGTCGGGTGCCCTTCAACTTCTCAACCGAAGCCATCTCCGCCGGATCTGTCCATCGGCCGCCATCTTCGATTCGCCGTCGTCCGTGATCCCCTG